GACTTGCGCTTAAAGGCGGTTGTGATGCATCTGCCGCTTCGGAGTCTTGGAGAGCTTCTACGGGTATGCTGCGTGGATTTGCTGCTGACGTGTGTCTCTTTGATGAGCCCACATCGCCTCGCGTTGCTGTTTCTCTTGTGTCTTTCGCTGGCGGCTGTTCTGTCTCCCTTCGGGAATTTCCTGCATCTGCTCCTTCTGACGGGAGGGTAGTCGTCTAGGCGCTTGGGGGCTGACGTGTAGCTGCAGGAGAGCGACAGAGCAGCAAACAAGGGCTTGTGGGGATGCTGCTGGTAGGTGTCTGGGGCTGCTGCTTGCCGCAGGCATTCGACATTGCCAACGTGGCACTCCGTCGAGCATCCTGTGAGGCAGCGGCAACGGAGCAAGCCAAGGCAAAGAGCCTTCCTGGATTACCTGCTGAGCAGTTTTTAAAAAGGCCTCTCGCGGAGAGGGCACTGCCGATCTTTGTGTTCTTGGCTGCGCCTTGCGTTCGTCTGCACATTGATGCATCGGTCTGTGGTGCTACAGCAGCAGCAAGAGGAGCAGCAAGAAGAGCAGGAGCAGCAAGAGAAGCAGCAGCAGCACGAGGAGCAGCAAGAGCAGAAGCAGCAGCAGGAGCAGCAAGAGCAGAAACAGCAGCAAGAGCAGAAGGAGCAGAAGCAGAGAGCAGCGACGCACGTGCCTCTGTGCAGGAGGTCTGGAGCCAATGCCGCCGTGGCAAGCGTGCATTGGCAGAGAGCGAAGAAGAGGATATCAGCAGCTCGCTGATTGTTGATTTGTGCTGTCTGCGAGTCTCCTACTGGCCAGGACCTAGACTTGGAGGTGAGCGAGGCAGCAGCGGCATTTGCAGCAACAGCAGAAGCAGCAGCAGCAGCATTTGCGACAGCGGTGCTGGCAGTAGCGGCTTCGTGGCTGCTGAGCAGCAGCACGCGTGCCTCGCCTCCTTGGCGTCGGAGCATCATCTTCGTTGCTTCCTTCTGTATCGGCAAGAAGGGCGGGCGCAGCAGCGAGAGCAGCAGCAGCAGCAGCCAGCCTCTCGTCTTGCTTGGAAGTGCCGTCTGCTGTTTTCGACATGCATGCCCAGTGACACCGCAAGGCACTCTCGTGACACGTCGCTAGTGGATCCTCGTTCGAACCAGCAACGCGATCGATTGATACCCCTTAGTGTCGTTTTAAGGACAGCCGCGCCGTCAGTATCATTCTCCTGCCTCGCACCGCTTCCAGAGCTCGCCGCTGCAGCGTCGTCTGGAGGAATAGCGTCTGCTGCATCTGCAGCAGCCGGAGCAGCAGCGGCATTCCAGCGCGTGCCACCTCCTGCACATGCACGAGCTCTGTTCGCAGACTTCCCTTTCAGAGACACCCTGGGAGTGCCTCATGAAGGCACTGTGGACCTCTCGGCTAGCAGCAGCGAGCAGCAGCAAGAGCAGCAGCAGCAAGAGCAGCAGCAAGAGCAGCAGCAGCAAGAGCAGCAGCAGCAAGAGCAGCAAGAGCAGCACTTGTGCGAGACACTCTCCGTGAGCGTCCCCTTCATCGAGACATCTCTGAACGCCGAAGTGGCACGGCTTTTAGGGAGCTTTATTCGAAGCTTCTCGATGGCGAGTGAGGATCTGAGCACGGGCGAAGACGCTGTCAGCTCGGCTGCAGAGAGACAGCCTCTGCCGAAGCAGCAGCAGGCACGGCTCTCGGAGGCGCAAGGGCAGCCGACATGGCGAAGGCGCTTTTGCTGCACTCCTGGCAGCTGTGTGAGCGTCTTTTTAGGTGCCTTTTCTCTGCATTGCGACCAGCCTTCTGCCTGCAGGAGAAACAAAGACAGCCGCGGAGGACCGTCTTCGCGCAGCGGCGCCCTCCCGTCGAATCTCGGCAGTCTTGCAGCAACAACTGTGATCGCCACGGTCGGCGAGAAGAGGCTCAGCTGCAGCAATTCTACGCGGGAGGGAAGGGGAGGAGGCAGGGGGGTTTACGTAGAGATGGGTAAACTGAACGTCTCCCTCTCCTGCCTTCCGCGACTTCCCAACACCTCTCACTCTGCAGCAGCAGTGCCAACAGCCGATAGTCGTAACACTAGCAGTCGTAACACTAGCAGTCGTAATACTAGCAGCAGCAACACGAGCAGCAGCAGCAACACGAGCAGCAGCAGCAGCACGAGCAGCAGCCGCCTTGTGGTATTCGGTTCCTTAGGCAGTGTTGCTGCCTTCTGCTGCACTGAGCCTGTGCTGTATACCTGGCGTGCGTCGCTGTATCGTGGTTCTAGCTCTCCACGGGGTGTAGAGGCAGCAGCAGGAGTGACACTCCAGGCGGAGGGGGCCCCCTCGCTAGCTGCCAGCGGGGGGGGAGAGGGAGGCAGTGCAGACTCCGTGTTGGTGCGTGAGCGCGACTGCGTCTTTTCTATGTGTTTGGATTGCCGCGTCAGTGCGCCTCCCTCAGTTTGGCTGGACGAAAGCAGCAGCAGCAGCAGCAAACGCGCTGTCTGTGTGTCGGTACAGACAGCAGACGTGCGTGCCGAGTGTCTCGTGGGGGTTTGCAGTCTCAGCGCAATTCAGGGAGCAGCCGCTGCTCTTTCAACGCTTTCTCTGTGCGTGTCGGCAGCCACAGCCAGTCAACAGCAGCAGCAGCAACAACAGAAGCAACGGCGGCAACAACGGCAGCAGCAGCAACAACGGCAGCAGGGGGAAATCACGCTGTCATTCGAGGATTGTCGGCTCGATGGCAGCGCTTCTCAAAGTCTGCTGCTCGTTCCACGTCCTTCTGCATGGCTGCTGAATGCAACGGCTGTGCCTTCGCGGGGGGGTAGACATTACGGGGAGGCACTTCAGCGTGCTGACGAGGAGGCTGCTATGGGGGTGTCAGGCAAGTGTGCAGGGAGCTCTCCGCGATGCTGCTGCTGCAGCAGCAAGACGGCAGTGGACTCAGAAGGCGCGGGGTGGTTAGCAGCGGTACATGTGGCAGCGGTGAGAATCGGCTTGGGAAAGCCTTCTCAGCAGCAGCATTATGAGCAGCAGCATTATGAGCATTATGAGCATTGTGAGCAGCAGCATTATGAGCAGCAGCATTGTGAGCAGCAGCATTATGAGCATTATGAGCATTGTGAGCAGCAGCATTGTGAGCAGCAGCATTGTGAGCAGCAGCAATCAGAAGAAGGGGCAGTTTCTGCAGCAGTATCCGCAGCGACGGCGTCTTCAAGAGCAGCATCCTCTACGAGGGAAGCATGCGATCGCCGTTTAGAAGTGTGTTGCAGCACACTTGAGCTTTTTCTGCTGAACGAAGCCACACGCCTTTGCCACGTTCGCACAGCCGAGGGGGAGCCGCTGCAGCAGCTCTCTTCTTTGCCGCTTCCGTCTCCGCTTATCCGGCGACCTTTCGCGGCGCACGCAACTTGGGGGGCCCCCTGGGGGGCCCCCTGGAGGGCCCCTCACGGCTCTCACTGCTACTCCCGTTGCAGCAGCAGCAGCAGTTCTTCTTCTTGCTTCGGAGACGCCTGCGCTTCTAGGGGCAGACTTCAAGAGGCGTCCAGGTTCTCTTCACACACAGCAGCAGCAGCGTTGTCTCCCCCCCCACTACCCCTGTCAGCAGCAGCACACCGCAGAGACGCCCTCCCTGCGCTTGCCTTCCGAGCAGACACTGTGGCTTCTTTGCTGCCTCGCTGTGGCTTGGTTCGTCTGCTTCGAACAGACGGTTTGCTCTTCTCTGCGGATCTCTGGGGGCCCCCCGGGGGGCCCCCAGAGATCCAGTCCAGATCGTCTTCTTCGAAAGGGAGGCGTCTGAGAGGCGCCGTCAACTGCAGTGCCTTTGACGGTCTTCTCTGCCCTGACAGCTTGCGCTGCCTCCTCTTCCTCTTCACGGATCTGAATGCGCTGTTGTCTCTCCAGACAGCTCCGCAAGAGCTCTTGTTCTTTTCTGACGCTTGCGTGCGTCTCCTGGCGGCAGCGGCTGCTCCCGCCGCCTTTCCCCAGACGCCTGGAGGCGAGGCACCGGCGGCGGCTGAGCGTCTTCCCCTTGAAGCCTCCCGCGAAGACGGCGCTGACAGGAGCAGCGGCGAGGGGCCCCCCCCCCCTCCTGCCTGGCGGAAGGCTCCCGAGTTGAATCTCCTGGCAGGCGTCGACGTCGGAGCGTTCCTCGTGGATGCGGACGGCGAGAGAGGGGGGGGGGGGGCCCCCCCCGCAGCAAGGGAACTCGGGGGGCCCCCATCTGGAGGCTCCTTTTACCCCTGTGGCACATATCCGACAGTTGCCGTTCCAGCATTTCAGCGGACGGCTACTGTCCACCTCTCGCAGGTGCGAGCTGCCTCTCCCCCTTGCCGCGGCTTCGCTCTTATCAAGAACTATGTCGCTCCACTGCCTCAGTCTCCTGCAGCTGCTGCTGCAGCTGCTGCTCGCACGCCTGCGACGCCGCAGCGGAACGATGATGCAGACACTCCGTGCGAAGCAGCAGCAGCAGCAAGAGTGCCAGCAGCAGCAACGTTGAAGGCTGCACTAGCTGCTGCAGCAAGGGCAGCTAGGAGAGCAGCGGAAGGAAGAGAGGCGAATGCCAGCGCGTTTTCTGAGTCTTCGTGGGAAGCAGCAGAAAGCGATTCGCGAGGCGCGCCTTCCTCAAGGGGCGTTCGCAGCAGCGATCGCAGGAGTTTTGGCGGAGGGAGAGGCCCCTCCGCAGCGCAACTGCGGCAGATGCAGGCGGAAGACGCGGAGGTGAGATCCACGGTGGCTGCCCTCTATCGCGCAGAGGGGGCCCCCCCCCCTCCCCCCGTTGAGGCAGCAGGGGAGGGCGAGGGGCCCCCACCTGCGGCATTTTTCCCTCCAGAACCTTCTGCTGCCGCGAGCTGCCGAGTCTCTAGGCTGCCTCGGAGTGCAGACATGCCTTCCAATTTGGCAGCTGTCACCATAGAAGATCACTTCGGGGGGGGGGGGCCCCCGAGGCGCGTGACTGCCGAAGGATCCGGCGAGCGGCTGCGGGGGGGCCCCCCAGGAGGCCCCTTCGGACGGCTGCTGCTCCCCGACGCGAGCGGCTGCATGCAGACAGGGGAGTCGCCTCTCGACATTGAGAAGGGGATTTGGGGGCCCCTGCTGAGGCAGAAGGCACAGCAGGGAGACTTGGAGAAGGCTGACGAGGGACGGAAAAGCGCATGGAGTACTTTGCTCGAAATCGAAGTAGCGGATGCACAACTGACGCTTTCGAAGGGGCCTCATTTTCGTGACGGAGGGGCCTCCCAACTTGGCGTGCGCGCCGACGTGCTGAGGCTCTCGCTCAGCGGCACCAGCTTGCTGCTTGCCTGCAGCAACTGCAGCAAAGACAGCAGCAGCAAGAGCAGCAACTGCAGCAACAGCAACAACAGCAGCAAAGACAACAGCAACAAAGACAACAACAGCAACAAAGACAACAACAGCAACAAAGACAGCAGCAACAGCAAAAGGCCGCAAACTGCCATAACTCGTTTGATGGGTGTGTCAGTGCGGGAGCTGAGAGTAGAGGATTTGGTGGAGGGTTCTGCTTTTGGCTATTTGCTGCGGCATTACGAGGATGAGAAAGCAAGACCTTTGCCTTTTACTCTCCCCATGCTCCGTGCGATTGTATCGGAAAGCTGCCTTCCCCGTCAGCGGCTGCTGTTGCCGCGTCTCGAGCAAGAGCAGCAGGAGCAGCAGGAGCAGCAGGAGCAGCAGGAGCAGCAGCAGTTTGAATACGAAGTGGACGTCAAGATGCTGCCTTTCGCAGTGTCTCTGCACCAGTGCACCGTCGACGCACTGGAGAGTTTCTCTCAGCAGCTTCTTGTCGCAGGAGTCTTCGAACTTCCCACCCCTGTTCACACGCCTGAAGGCGAATCTTCTTCCAGCTGCAAGCATCATGGCTGGCGACAATCTTCTCGCAGTCGGAGGGGCCCCGGAAGCTGCAGTCCGCTGGGATGCAGCAGAGAATCTCTCGCCGCGGCTCCTTCCCACTCCCACACGCGGGCGGAAAGACGCTGCGGCAGGCAGCGACAGCAGCAGCTGCTGCTGCTCCTGCAGCGACAGCAGCAGCAGCGGCTGCGGAAGCGGCAGCGGAGGCAAGACTCCAAAAAAAACTTGGGGTGGAATCCTCCAACGGCGGCTGTCAACCCCTTCGAGGTTCCCGAGGCTGTCAGAAGAAGGTCCTCTCGCTCAACGCTCAGACACTGGAATTGTCGCCGCAACACTGTTTCTAGCAACTGCAGCAGCAGCAGCGGGAGCTGCCGCTGCAGCGAAGACAGACGCGGCAGCAGTCTTCGTGCTCCTGCGTTCGCCTTGTTGGGCACTCCTAGGGGCCCCCCTTGCGCAGCAGCAGCAGCAGCAGCAGCAGTCGGTGGCGAGGTAGGCGGGGGGGGGGCCCCCACAGGGCCCCCTCGAGCGTCGACCGTCCCCAGCGAGTTCTTCATCCGCTCCTTCAAAGTCTCTGCGCTTCTCATCAAGGTAGACTTCGCTGCACGACAACCCAACCCAAACGGAGTCTGGAGGGGGGAAATCAAAGAACTGCTGAATCTCTTCGCCTCCTGCTGCAAGTACGAAAAAACACCTTGCATGCAATCAACCTTACCACGTATCTGGCTCTTCACCATTCACTCTCCATACAGCTCGCGACCTCCTTGTTGAGTCTATATATATATATATATATATGTGCTTGTCGATTTGTTTTATATATGTATGTATATCTATATAGACATATCTACGTCTATATATATCTATCTACACCTATATATATCTACATATCTATATATGTACATATATATCTATCTACATCTATGTATCTATATTTATATCCTAGTCGACTTGTTTTATTTGTAGCGTGATGCTGCTGTGCGCGCGTTGCCTTTGCCACGTTTCTCTCTCTCTCCATACTGTGCCTGCATTTCCTCTTCTGCTCCGCTCTGCCTCTGGTTTCCTTGCTTTGGAGGGCCTATAATTGTTTTGCCTTGGGGGCTGTGAAACGGCATTTTATACCTGTTTTCTGCCCTTGCGCATTTCAGGTTTGAAGGCATCGAGGTGGCATTTCCTGCCTTAGTGCTGTGTGACGTATCTTCGCTGCATCTCCTTCTGGAGAAGCTCACAGCTCAATGGGTGTCTTGCGCAAGCCGGTAGGAGGGCTGCACGATAGGACGGACCGCAGCCTGCCTTGCAGTGCTTCCCTGAACCACTGCAAGCGAGGCGGGTAGAGCGAGTGAAAGCCTCGTGTATGAGCCGTCTGAAGGGGGGGTAGATACACGCTTCGGCGCTTGCATGGGGGGAGGGGGGAGAGGGAGAGGCAAGAGAGAGAGAGGGGGAGCGGGAGAGGGTGAGGGGGACAGGGGGAGAGGCAAGAGAGAGAGAGGGAGGAGAGGCAACAGAGAGGGAGAGGCAGAGGCAATAGAAATAGAGGGAGGAGAGAGAGGCAAGAGAGAGAGGGAGAGAGAGAGAGGCAAAAGAGAGAGAGAGGCAAAAGAGAGAGAGGGAGGGGAGGCAATAGAAAGATAAAGGGAGAGAGAAAAGAGAGAGGCAAGAGAGAGAGGGAGGGGAGGCAATAGAAAGATAAAGGGAGAGAGAAAAGAGAGACGCAAGAGAGAGACAGTGGCAAGAGAGAAGGAGCGACTGTGTCTCGAGAGGCTACATGTGTTTCTGCACAAAATTTTCTGTGGTGTATGTGTGTGGGGTGTGCTGCAGAGCCGTGATGATCCGGTGTATAAACAGCGTGGCACCTGTCAACGGCATTCTTAGGGGGGGGAGGACTCTTCGCGCATGGCTGCTGAGAACGTTTCGTCGTCATAAGGGAGGCTGCAGTCGAAAGTCTCTTGCGAATGCTGCTGGAGTCGAAATTCGCAGTCAGAGGGTAGTGTCTGCTGCGCTGCAGCAGCTGATGATGACTTCTCCGGATGCGCGAGGGCTTGCGCTGCTGCTTGCAAAGAACGTTGCTGCGGCTGCAGCTGCTGCTGGCTTCAAGAGCTTGTGGGTTACTCGATGGCTCTGTTGTTACTGCAGCCAGCCTTGCGCCTTCCAGACTCGTCTGCTGCTGCTGTTAGTGGCTGCTGTCAGTGGCTGCTGTCATTCGATGTGATTCGATGTTCTCATTTGCTGCGCTTACTTGCTGCGGTTCTTTGCTGCGGTTCTTTGCTGTTATTTGATTCCGTTATTCGATGTTATTTGGTGTTGTTTGCTGCTGTTATTTGCTGCTGTTATTTGCTGCAGTTATTTGCTGCAGTTATTTGATGTCATTTGATGTCATATGCTGCTGTTATTTGATGTTACTTTATGTCATTTGCTGCTGTTAATTGATGTTATTTGGTGTTATTTGTTGCTGTTATTTGCTGCTGTTATTCGCTGTTATTTGATGTTATTTGGTGTTATTTGTTGCTGTTTTCTTTTACTGTGATTTCCTGCTTTGATTTGCTGTTGCTTGCTCTTATTTGCTGTTATTTGCTGCTCTTACTTGCTGCTGTTATTTGATGTTATTTGCTGTTATTTGATGCTGTGATTCGATGTTATTTGATGTTATTTGCTGCTGTTATTTGCTGCCTTGATTTGCTGGTTTTTGCTGTTATTTGATGCTGTTATTTGCTGCTGTTATTTGCTGTTATTTGCTGCTCTTATTTGCCGCTGTTATTTGCTGTTATTCGCTGTTATTTGATGTTATTTGCTGCTGTTATTTGCTGGTGTTATTTCCTGCAGTTCTTTGCTGTTATTTGATGTAATTTGCTGTTGTTTTCTGGTGTTATTTGGTGCTGTGATTTGCTGCCTTGATTTGCTGCTTTGATTTGCTGCTGTTCTTTGCTGTTTTTTGCTGTTATTTGATGCTAGTTGATGTTATTTGCTGCAGTTATTTGCAGTTAATTGTTGTTATTTGCTGTTATTTGATGTTATTTGCTGCTATTTGCTGCTGTTATTTGATGTTATTTCCTGTTATTTGCTGTCATTTGCTGCTGTTATTTGCTGCTGTTATGTGCTGCCATTTCCTGCTCTTTGCTGTTATTTGATGCTGTGATTTGCTTTAATTTGATGTTATTTGCTGCTGTTATTTGCTGGTGTTATTTCCTGCAGTTATTTGCTGTTATTTGGTGTTATTTGCTGCTGTGATCTGCTGTGTTTTGCTGCTTTTATTTGATGTCATTTCCCGCTGTTATGTGCTGCTGTTATATGTTGTCATTTGCTGTTGTTGTGTTTTGTCATTTGCTGCTGTGGTTTGCTGTCATTTGCTGCTCCTATGTGCTGTAACATTGTGCTGGCGATGTAATTTTCGCCATGCAAGGCTCCCACTGCGTGATGCTGCTGATTTCCGTCGCTTGTGCTTCTGTTGCTGTTTGAAAGTATCCCCTCCTCTGGCTGTGGGGGCTGCTGGGGGTGTTGCGACATGTGCATGCATGATGAAAAATGATGGTAATGGTAATAGTGGTGGTAATAGTGGTAATAGTGGTGGTAATTGTGGTAATAGTGGTGGTAATTGTGGTGATGATAGTGGTGATACTGGTGATAATAGTGGCGGTAATTGTAGTGATACTGATGATAGTGGTGATACTGATGATAGTGGTGATACTGATGATAGTGGTGATAATAGTGATACTGGTGATGATAGTGGTGATGCTTGAGCGCTGGTGTGCGTGTGTTTCTGAAGTGGGGTTGGCGGCATACCTGTCACCCGTCTTTGCTCCTGCACGTGCTGCGGTGACTGCTGTTGCTGCTGTTGCTGCCATGGGTGTTGTATTGCTGCAGATGCCTCTCGGAAAAAGCCTTGCGGGGCATGCATTCGCTGCTGTATCTGCTCGATCGCGCGTATACACCAGGCAGCTGTCCGCCTTACCCTTCTGCTACCTTCCGTTCGCGAAGCAGCAGGGGAAGCGACGTGCTGCTGTTGTGTCGAGATCCCTTCGCAAACAGCAGCAGCAGCAGCACAAGGCGCTTAGCAGGCAGTATACAGACGACGCGACGGCACAGATTAGGCCTTACAGCGTCTCAGACTTCCGGTAAGAGGAGAAAATGCCACTTTTGTGCAGCAGCGCAATCTCTCATGAACAACGTTCTCTGCGTCCCTACACCACATCTGCTAGAGAAATTAACAAGCAGCAAGAGGGGGGATTCACTAGGATTAACAAGCAGCAAGAGGGGGATTTTATAGGCAGCAAGAGGGGGGATTAACAGGCAGTAAGAGGCAGCAAGAGGGAAGATTAATAGGCAGCAAGAGGGGGATTTTATAGGCAGCAAGAGGGGTTAACAGGCAGTCAGAGGCAGCAAGAGGGGTTAACATGCAGCAAGAGGCAGCAAAAGGGGAGATTAATAGGCAGCAAAGGGCAGCAAGAGGGATTAGCATGCAGCAAGAGGCAGCAAAAGGGGAGATTAATAGGCAGCAAGAGGGGGGATTCACTGGGATTAACAAGCAGCAAGAGGGGGATTTTATAGGCAGCAAGAGGGGGATTTTATAGGCAGCAAGAGGGGTTAACAGGCAGTAAGAGGCAGCAAGAGGGGTTAGCATGCAGCAAGAGGCAGCAAAAGGGGAGATTAATAGGCAGTCAGAGGCAGCAAGAGGGGAGATTAATAGGCAGCAAAGGGCAGCAAAAGGGGAGATTAATAGGCAGCAAAGGGCAGCAAGAAGGGAGAGTAATAGGCAGCAAAGGGCAGCAAGAGGGATTAACAGGCAGTAAGAGGCAGCAAGAGGGGAGATTAATAGGCAGCAAGAGGGGGGATTCACAGGGATTAACAAGCAGCAAGAGGGGGATTTTATAGGCAGCAAGAGGGATTAACAGGCTGTAAGAGGCAGCAAGAGGGATTAACATGTAGCAAGAGGCAGCAAAAGGGGAGATTAATAGGCAGCAAAGGGCAGCAAAAGGGGAGATTAATAGGCAGCAAAGGGCAGCAAGAGGGATTAACATGCAGCAAGAGGCAGCAAAAGGGGAGATTAATAGGCAGCAAAGGGCAGCAAGAGGGATTAACATGCAGCAAGAGGCAGCACGAGGCAGCAAGAGGGGAGATTAATAAGCAGCAAAGGGCAGCACGAGGCAGCAAGAGGGAAGATTAATAGGCAGCACGAGGCAGCAAGAGGGAAGATTAATAGGCAGCACGAGGCAGCAAGAGGGGAGATTAATAAGCAGCAAAGGGCAGCAAGAGGGAAGATTAATAGGCAGCACGAGGCAGCAAGAGGGAAGATTAATAGGCAGCACGAGGCAGCAAGAGGGGAGATTAATAGGCAGCACGAGGCAGCAAGAGGGAAGATTAATAGGCAGCACGAGGCAGCAAGAGGGGAGATTAATAGGCAGCAAAGGGCAGCAAGAGGGATTAGCATGCAGCAAGAGGGATTAGCATGCAGCAAGAGGGATTAGCATGCAGCAAGCGGCAACAAGAGACAGAAGCTGCATTGTGAAACCTTCCAAATCCCCTCCACACGGCGGCTCCCCCGAGGAGGCTCCTGTTGCCTCTTACTGCTCCTTGCTGTTATGCATGCGCGCTTGCCACGCTCCTGCCAGTTCTACGAGGATTGCTGGGGAATGCCTGCTGCACAAATCAGCGCGATTGCTTGCTGGAATGATGCTTCTGCAAACATGTCTCGGCGTGTTTATTGCAGAGATTGATGACGAGTTGTTAGGAGTTGACAGCAGCCTAGCGGAAAGTACCTTGGTGGAAGCCAGTAGCGAATGGGCAGTAGTACATCTAGGTGCAGAAGGCTTGTACGAGGTTTGTCTAGGGCATTTTATAAACTATAAACTATGCCTGGAAGCTTATGCATCCGCATGCAGCTCTCTAAGAGCTGGCCAGATTCCCCTGAGCCTTGAAATTCTCCACACACGCCTGCCGCATATATACATATATGTATATATATTCTCATACGCGCAGCGCCATCCTCTGTCTCCCCTTTACCGCTTGTTTACACGCTGTCTGCACGCTGCTGCGTGGTGCCCTGCTTGTACTTTTTGCTGCATCCATGCTGCTTCCTCCATGCATGCATCCATGCTGCTTCCTCCATGCTGCTGCGTGGTGCTCTGCTTGTACTTTTTGCTGCATCCATGCTGCTTCCTCCATGCATGCATCCATGCTGCTTCCTCCATGCTGCTGCGTGGTGCTCTGCTTGTACTTTTTGCTGCATCTGTGCTTCTTCCTCCATGCATGCATCCATGCTGCTGCGTGGTGCCCTGCTTGTACTTTTTGCTGCATCCATGCTGCTTCCTCCATGCATGCTTCGCTACCCCCACGTTGCTTTCTCCCCGCTGCTGCGTGCTGCATGCTTCCTCCCTACTGCAACACTTTTGCGTTTGCTGCTCTCTCCTGCGTGTTGCAGCCGGAGGGGGTGATGGCAGGCATTGGCGATGCTTGCCGCTGTGTCTCCCGTGGATTCACTTCTGCGCGCGATGTGTTGCATCGTCTGTACAGTCCAAACACCATGGGCGTAGAGATGTTGCAGGTAGCTGGACGTGTCCTCCCTGCCCTCATCCTCAGACCCCTACTGGGCTTCTCGGAGGGATGCACTAGGGCTGTGCAGGTGAGCGCGGGCATTTTTTATCGAATAAAATGCGTATGCATGCGTGTCGATTCTTCTGCTTCGTGCTGCTCCTGCTTTTCTGCATGCCTGCGTGATGCTGCGGGCCCTTGGAGCAGTTGTGTGACTCGCTCTCGCCCAATCCTCTGCCGCAACATGCGCGCTGTCCACCTCCTGCATCCCCCCTGCTGCTGCTGCTGCTGCTGTTTTTCGCATGATGCTTCTCGCCACCTCCCTCTCTGCCTCCCTCAGGGTGCCCGCAATCAGCTGCGACCATCTGCCCGAGCGCAGTGGCTGTCTGTAGCTCGACGTCCTCACGTGGAAGTTGGCATCATCCCCTCCGATGAGGATGACGATATGCTCATTGCGTAGAACGAGCAGACAGCTGCCTCGCTCGCTCGAGGGGCACCTACACACAGCGAGCCGGGTGGCAAGTAATAGGGTTGCCTCCCAGCTGAGCAGCAGCTAGGCTGAACGCACTCCGCTGCTGGGCACTCGCTAGCTAGCCACTCCGCTGGTTCTACAGCTAGTGGGCTCCACGTGGGCAGCTAGCTGCTGGCTAGGGAGAAACGCCGGGAATCGCATCAAGAGGTAGCTAGCAAGCCCATCCGCACTCCCCACATTAACTACTGGAGCGGCTCGCGAGCCGATCGACCTAGTCTAGCCGCTAAAAGCCTCTATTCTAGACTTGAAAGGGACAGCAGTCAATAGGTATAGCACACCAGCTGTCTGCGGCGACGCCCTGTAAGGCTGCCGCTGCGTGCGTCGCTCCTGGCTGGCCAGTTACCCCTTTTCGCCCTTCGTCTAACTTGTAGCTAGCCACCTCGCTAGGCAGCCCCGCAGGTGCCCTACTCCGACACGGACGTTCCGGCATTCACATGTTTTCTGTCTACCAGAGAGAGCTATGGCTAGCTGAGTGTCTACAGTGCTTGTTTTGTTTCCAGCGGTTCCACAGGGAGGAAAAGCCCATCCGCCAGCCTCCCTTCCCCCCCCCCCCATTACTCCCGTCACGTCCTGAGGACGGCAGACAGACAGAAGCTAGCAAACCTCTGAGTCGCATAGGCGCAGTCGCACTGTCGTTTGAGTGGTATTCTAGACGCGGCATTATGCGGAGCTAGGGAACACAAGAGAAACCCCTAGCCGTTAACCCCGCCTCGCGCATGCATGCGCGACGCATGCATGCGTACACATCTTATCACCACTGTGGCGTGGCAACGGTGCGTCGCCCTCCGCTGCCGCTTGAGCTTTGCGCATCCCCTGCCTGCAAGCCTCGTCTGCGAATAAAGGCCAGCACGCCTTCTAGTCACAGAGGAGCAGGAGCCACGACTCGAGAAGCAGCGCAGGAGCTGGCTTAGGTGCACCTTGTCTCTTGGGGAGACGCCAAGGATAAAACCAAGGGGCATATATACATATATGTATATATATATATATACATATATGTATATATATATATACATATATATATGTATATATATAGATATATATCAGATATAGAAGGCCTCCCTCCGCCTCTATCATGCAAAGGGGCCCCCGCCGCCCGAGCCTCCTCCTCCGCCCAAAAGAAACTGTTTAGAAGCCCCAGGCGCAAATCCAGGAACGCCAATCTGGGAGGAGGCCCCTTGTGAAGGCGCTGCTCCTCCAAAGAGGCCCCCTGCCCCCCCAGCCGTTTTCGAGGATCCAGCAGCTAGCGTCAAAGCACTGCTCCCGTCTTGAAACACCCTGCTCTGCGAACCTGAAGCCTCCGAAGAAGAACCCGTGTTCTCACGAGTCGCAGGTGTCAAAGGGCCCCCAAAGACGGAAGGCGCAGAGGGGCCCCCAAAGAGGCCCCCCGAACCACCACCACCCTCGCGCGTCCTAAATAAACCTTTCGAGGGGGGCCCCTCCGACTCGGTTCTACCCCGCTTACCACTACCGCCGCCCTCCACGAATAAATTCCCTCTCTGACTGCCCCCTTCGCTATCCTTCAAAAGTCCAAAGTTCAGAGAACCTCCCGAAGGCTTTGAAGCGGAGAAGGGAGCACCAAACAAATTGAAAGATGGGGTGCCCTTGCTGCCACTGCCACCAAAGAGGGAAGGCTTATCGGCTGCTGCTGTTGCACCTACTGCACTGCCACCGAAGAGGGAAGGCTTATCGGCTGTTGCACCTGCTCCAGCTGCACTGCCACCAAAGAGAAAAGGCTTATCTGCTGCTGCACCTGCTCCAGCTGCACTGCCACCAAAGAGGGAAGGCTTATCTGCTGTTGCACCTGCTCCTGCTGCACTGCCACCAAAGAGGGAAGGCTTATCTGCTGCTGCACCTGCTCCAGCTGCACTGCCACCAAAGAGAAAAGGCTTATCTGCTGCTGCTGCTGCACCTGCTCCAGCTGCACTGCCACCAAAGAGAAAAGGCTTATCGGCTGCTGCTGTTGCACCTACTGCACTGCCACCAAAGAGGGAAGGCTTATCTGCTGCTGCTGCACCTGCTGCACTGCCACCAAAGAGGGAAGGCTTATCTGCTGCTGCTGCTGCACCTGCTGCACTGCCACCAAAGAGGGAAGGCTTATCTGCTGTTGCACCTGCTCCTGCTGCACTGCCACCAAAGAGGGAAGGCTTATCTGCTGCTGCTGCTGCACCTGCTCCAGCTGCATTGCCACCAAATGTAAACAGCTTATTTGTAGATGCTGAGGAGCTGCCAAAGAGGGAAGGCTTATCGGCTGCTGCCCCCGCCGCAGGAGTAGTGCTGCTGCTGCTGCTGCTGCTGCTGCTGGTGCTGCTGCTGCCGAAAACGAAGGGCTTCTGCGCTTCCGATGCTGCCGCTGCAGGATCGCTGCTCTTGTTTGCACTGCTGCTGCTGGCACCGAAGACGAATACTTGATTTGCAGAATCGTTGCTGCTGGGGGAAGATCCCAAAAGGGCAGGAGGGGCCGCTGCTGCTGTCGCCGTGCCAAACAAACTGCCGCCAGCGCTGAAGGGGCCCCCCCCCTCCTTGTTAATGCCGAAGAGCGACATGCCACTGCTGCTGTTTTTGCTGATGTTGCTGCTGGAGCTGCCTCCAAAGAGGGGTGATCGAGAAGCAGGAGCACTGACACCAGGGGACTGGTCAAAAAGAGGCGTTTTCTGAGTGCCGCTCGGGAGGGTGTCTTCGCCTCCACTGCCGCCAAAAGTGAAGAGCGAGGGGGCCCCCCCCCCCCGTTCCCGCTGCTGCTTGCACCTGCACCAAAGGTGAACAGCGAGGGAGCAGCTGGCGCAGCCTTCGGAATTGGCAGGCTGCCAAAAAGGCCGCTTCCTCCCCCCCCTGCTGCGGACTGCGCTGCTGTGCCTCCTCCGTCTCGCGCAGCTGCATCTGCAGCAACGACGCCAGCAGGAGTCGCAACAGCAGAGTCTGCAGACGCCTCTGCAGCGTGCTCCGCAGATCCCTCGTCATTTGCATTCTCCGCAAAGCCATCAGCCTCAATAACGACTTCGCACGGCTTGCCCACGTTGGCTAGCCACCAGGGCACTGCAGCTGGCTTGCTACCTTCTTTGCTGCTGCTACTGCTGCTACTGCTCGTGCTGCTACTGCTGCTCGTGCTGCTGCTGCTACTGCTGCTGCTGCTGCTGCTACTGCTGCTGCTCGTGCTGCTGCTGCTGCTGCTCGTGCTACTGGCTGCGAGCTTTGTGGCCTCTGCCGCCTCACTAGCAGCAGGAGCAGCGACTGAAGCTGCATCCTTCGCCCCTTTCTTCCCCTTGGCGCTGCTCTCCTGTGTCACGAGGCTCCCTGTCACCCCTACGAGGCTGTGTGTGGCACCTGGAGCCACGCCTCCCAGGAGACTCCCAAAGGACGCCTTTGCGGAGCTTTTCAGCCCAGCAGCACCGAACAGACTGCGAGACGGCTTCCCCGTAGTCTCGTCCTTGTCTGGGGAGGAGACTCCACTCACCGCAGTGCGGCTGACAGTCTCCGCCTCGGAGACAAGGCCCTTCTGCGGGGGAGACGAAGAAGCCTCCTCAGAAACCTTTGCTTGCGCTTGTGTTTGGTCTCCTGGAGGCTTTGCAGCTGTGCCTGTGCCTGAGAGAAGAGGCTGCTCAGCCGCAGCGCTGCCAGCAGCAGCAGTTCGTCCGCCGGTGACAGAGGTTCCTGTTGCACTGTGCGTCTCCCCCCTGCTAAGCCCGAACACGGAGAAGCCGTTCGTCGCTCCTGCATGCCCTCCTGCGGCAGCAGCAGGCTGCTCAGTCCCCGCACCGAAGAGGGAGCCAGAAATGCAGCTCGCACGCGACTTCGTCTGCTCTTCTGGCGTCGCATCTCGCTGCTGCTGCCGACCAAACATGGAGCCTGCAGAAGAAGAGCCTCCTGCGAGGCCGCCTCCTGTTTCCTTGAGGCACTCCGCCGCAGCTGATGCTGCTGCGGAGTCTCCTGTCTCTACAGCCCCTCCCGCTGCGGAGGCACGCGCGTCTTTCGTCGCTACTGCCGACCTCGTGGAGACACCAGCAGACTGCGGAAGGCTGGAGCATCCTGCAGTGAAAGGCGAAGAAGAAGAAGCTGGCTTGGTGCTGCCGTTGTCTTGCGTTGGAGCAGTGGCTGCTGTGAGCTGCACTTCAGCAGCAGCAGCAGCAGCAGCTGGTCGAGAATCGCCTGCTGGTGCAAAAGGGGGACCTTTTTGCACAGACATGCGCGCAGGCAAAGGATCCGTTGAAGGGGAGGCTGGTTTGAAGAGGCTGCTTGCTCCTGTCTCGAGGGCCCTTGCTGCCTTGGCTGCGGGCTGAAGTGCAGCAGAGGCTTCTGCGAGCACTGCTTTTGCTGCTGCTGCTGCTGGCGAGACACCTGAGGATTCCGCCGAAGCACCGGCCTCCATGCGGCGCTGCAGCTTCTCGAGCAGACGCTGCTGTTTCTGCTGTTGCAGCTGTAGCTGTTGCTGCTGCAATGCAGCCTCAGCATCCAGCTGAAACAATTCCATAAGCCGCACATGCCAGCGCAGGGGGTGACACCGAAGGTAGAGTTGCTGCAGCTCAGTAGCAGAAACGTCTTCTCGGGGCTGCTGTCGCTGCTGCTGCTCTTCCAGCATATCCTGCTGCTGCTGCTGCAGCAGCAGTTGCTGCTGCTGCTGCTGCTGCTCTTCCAGAATAGCCTGCTGCTGCTGAAACATGGGGATAGCTGCTGCCGTGTCTCTCGCCTCCGCTGCAGCAGAAGCCACGTGCACTTGTCGGTATCGCTGCTTCGGCTGCACTTGCTGCCGTTGCTGCAAGTGCTGCTGCTGCTGCAAGTGCTGCTGCTGCTCGAGACGCAGCTGCTGTTGCCTGTCGAGTCGAGAAAGGGCGGCCAGCTGTGGATGCATGCGCTGCCAGGGCCCCAAAGCCCCCGGGGGGCCCCCCGAAGGGGCCCCCGCAGGGGCCCCCGTGTCGCTCAGTTCCCATGGAAGGGCCTCTACAGCCGTCCCCGCCAAATTTGTCTTGTGGGGTCCTCTCAGCTGTGGCTGCTGCTGTTGGGCGAAGCCGACGTACGGCAGGGAGGAGTTCGAATAGTTTCCTGCTGCTGCTGCTGCTCCTGCTGCTGTTGCTGCGGATAGCGCTGCAGGGGCCCTCTGCTGCTGCTCCTGCTGAAGCTGATGATGCTGCTCCTGATGCTGCTGCTCCTGATGCTGCTCGTGAGCAGCACCAGCACCAGCAAAGCTCCAAGCTCCTTGGGTTCGGTGTTGGTATTTCTGATCCCGTGGAACCTGCAGATACTGTTGATGCCGGTAGTCTCTGTGAAGGGGGCCCCCTGAGGCTTCACTGCGCGTCTCGCTAAAAAACGAGCTGCATTCGCTCATGGCCTCGCTCTGCTGCTGCAAGTGCTGCTCGCTGCTATTGCGGGGCCCCCGCGAATTCCCTCTAAGGGCATTCATGAAGAAAGAGGAGACGCGGGAAGCCACCCGCGTAAAAAGGGAAGGGGCCCCTTGGGGCCCCTCAGAGGGCCCCCCATACGGGTGGGGCCTCCGGGTTAGCCGCTTTTGCGGGTGCCTGCGTTCCACGTAGGCTGACATGGTTGTTGGCGCTGCTTCTGCTGGCTTCTGTGCGGCCGCTGCAGCAGCTATTCTGCATGCAGGCTGCGTGTCGTGCTGGCGCTGCCCCTGCCACGTTTGCTGCTGCGAATTCTGGGCGGCTGCTGAGGGGTGTACGCCCGCAGGCAGGCGGAAAAAGTCGCCTCAAACGCGAAGAAACGGGCAGAAAAAAATGGGGAAGGGGTGGGGAGCCGCTGCTGCCGCTGCTCCTGGTGTTGCTGCCTAGGAGGAGGTCACAAGACAGGCAAGGGAGGAGATCGTCGGTGTTGCCGGATGAAAAGCGAGGGGAAAGCGATGAGGGGAAGCAAATTAAATGACTTCGGAGACAGCTTATGCTGTTTTCACGGGTAAGGAGGCCTAGAATAAGGCTGTGGCATCGCGTCTAGTGGGTCTATGGCGAGGAGCAGCTGCTGTGACAGCAGGAGTCGCAGCCACACCGCATGCAGCCCCGCTGTTAAAAAGGCAGGCATATTTGCGAGTTTTTCATGACCAGAAACTTGAAAAAGGAGGAGAAAGCAAGCTTCATCTTTTGCCGGTGCAGGGACCGACAACTTTCACGCAAGCAAGGCAGTGCCTCCCTCTGTGTGTGTGGATATTTAGCGGCTGCTCCTGTGATTTACAGCCCTTTCTTGATTATAGAGGCTTGCCTACTGCTCTCGGCTCCGCGCAACCGCTATTGCGGCTGCTGCTGCTGCAAGTGAAGCGAAGGGGGCACACCATGCGCAGTAGGCAAGGCAGCCCGCATACGACACATGGAAGAGTCAGCGGCGTCTTCGCCAAAGCATCGGCTGGAGCCTGAATCCCCGTGGTGTAGTGGCATCAGCAGCAAGAGCCTTGCGTGGCGACAGCAGGCGAGAACTAAGGTGCTGGAGGATCTAACGCGAAAAGGCTTCCTCATGAAGGAGGGTGCCTCCTTTGGAGCAGACTTTCTAGGATACGCAGCCGATCCACGAGACGCTCATGCGTCGTTTCTAGTGTTTGTGCATCCCATGCGCAGCAGGAGCAAGGGGGTCAGCTGCTCTGAATGCAGCTTATGCAGCAGCAACAAAAGACGCCGGCTCTCGCCGCCTTGCAATTCCCCCCTTGGGTGCCATGACGTAGAGCCAGACAAAAACAGCGATGTAAAGACTATCTCATGTAGCCTATGTAGCAGCACCAATGTGGGACCTTCCTTTTCCCTGATATCTATGCAGCGTATCGCCAACAGCACCAAGAAGGCGGCCATCGTGGCTCTGGTCACGTGCTCCACGAACCCTCCGGTGTACATACAACTCGATCGAGTCAAAGCTTCTCCGATGTATTCATCATGATCTTTTGTCGCGGTTCGTGAATTCCGAGTAACTACTAGAGAAATGACGCATTTGAAAATAGTGAATCATCCCCCACTAGGAATTAGGGTTTGGTTTTCTGGCTTACAGCACCGCAACAGCGAGTACTGCCGAGTATTCCATTAATCGAGATACGGCTGTGAAGCGACTGTCTTGATGGCTGCGTGTACCCTGATTTCTCATTTTTCCTATACAGGCACACCCGCATCCTTCTTGCTGGGTACGTCGCCGTTCTCCTCTACATAGTTTATTGCTACGGGCCCTCTGCCTTCCGTTGCGCTCCTGCCTTCTCGATTGCTACCTGGATAGGTTTTTTGCAACTCGAAAAAGAGAGAGCCACGGGCTTCCAATTGCATACGCACCCTGAGGGCCAGTCGCTCATAGGAGTATTTGCTGCGTGGCAGGGGCTGTAGGCACATATTTCCTCCTATCTCCGACTAGTAGGACCTCTAGAGAGACTATTGCCAGCCGTGGCCACTCGCAGGAACGGGCTGAGCTCCCAAAATACGGGTAAACCCTGCACACCACCTGCTCACCCCCCGTAGTCAATCAAGAGAAACGGTGGAAGACCAAAGCGCACGGAGATTTCGACTGGGGAGGACCGCGTGTCTCCTATGCCACGAAACACTGCCGAGAAAAAGGGCACTAGCCGAGTTCAACCATGCCTTATAGAGGGCGCTTTGGGAGAGTAGGCGGATGTTCAGTCCGGCGATTCTCCCTCGATTTGTTTTCCCAGCAAAAGTAAAGCAACTGAGAAATATTGTAGCTCTGAGGCGAACGAGGTTCCCTATGAACCCGTGAGCTCCGTAGGGCAGGAGCAAGACGCTTATGACGCGACTAAGGATTTCTTGCTGTCTGTACTTTAGCCTCAGCTCTCCTGTGTGTCTAGGTCTCTTTTGCAGACCACAGACAAGATTTCAGCATCGAGGCGTTGCCCTCTGGATCAGAACGAATATAGACGTCACGTCGGGGCCGTTTCTGGTGACCATGTGCCCTATGGCCTTTAATTCTATGCATTTGGGCATCTTCACGGCTACCACCTCGCACGCGCTAGATCTTCGTGGAGTCGCATACTTATTTCCTTCCCTATTCTGCCTGCAGAGACACAGAACTGCTCGTGTAGAACGTGTGGGTATGAGCGACTCTGCAGACGACTGTTTGACAGCATGTTATCCAAACACTGCCAAAGGTCTGCCACTGTGGCGTGCTTCCAGCTTTCCGTTGTTTCTGCAGAGACTTTCAGCACTTGGGTTCTCTCAAGATCCCCTCCCTTTTACTTTTTCTATTTTAGCGAATTTACATCTCAGTGACAACAGCCATTTTGTAGTCAGAGCGCCCTTTTTCCGTAATATGAACATTGATCTGATGTATTGCGCTCCTATTAGCGGCCCCCGCTGTAAAAGTGCACGCAAACAACTTTCACTCTTTGAATTGTTGTGCGAAGCCTCGTCTTTCATGCTGCATCTTTCTGCGTACATGTCCCTACAAGGAGCTCTTTGTACAGCGCACGTTTATGAACGATCCTTTGCAATGCAGCATGAAGCGTCTGCATAGAAAGGGACTTCAGTTGGACCCTAATTTGAGCGCGGGAACCGCGCGGGGTTATCCATCGGAGCCTTGATCTCGTGATATTGTGCAACGCCCCACAGCAGTACAGAAGCAGTGCGAGTAAAAGGGAGCTGAGGGGAACGAGCATATCAAGAGGCTGCTTTGAACCAAAATGCGTGTGGATTATACACGCCAAGTATACTTCAGCGATTCAAGCTACCTTCTATTCCTGAGGTTGCTGGGTTTGGCTGCTGTGCGCAAACGGGGCCCTCAAGGCAGCTTTAAAGCTGCCCCTAAACCGCTTTCACACGTTTGATCTCACGAAAAAGCTCAACGAAACGTTTGGTCCATAAGACTCAATTCCAAGGAACTCTCAGGAGCAAGCAGGAAGAGCAAACATATTAAATTTCAGCCCTAATTTGACTAGGATTATTCAAGCTCGCTCGCCATGACTAAATGCAAAGTGTAGAGCTCTTGCCTAGGTACGGGGCAAGGATAATTCCTCGTTCAGTTTGAGCGTACCGCAACGTCGCTGCGATTACACAAAAAGCTGTTGGGGCCTTTATAGTGGTAGCGAAGAGCCTGGAAGCTCTACAGGCGCGGCAAGACTTCGGTTAGACCCTATAACGTCCAGTGGTTGCAATCTGATGGCTGGATACAGTGAGGTAAGCCACATTTGCCACGACCATGATGGATGAGTGTGTGCCTTTGCTTAAGCGGTGAGTAGTGAGTTGCCGCACCAGTAAGGCTTGAAGCCGGGGCGCTTACAGTTCCCACAAGCGTGTCCAAGAGCGAGTACCATCGCTTGTTTGTGAGGTCCTTATGGAGTCAACTGTTGACGTTTTTAACGCTTCTGCCAGCCATATGTATTTAGTATCACGATTAATGTATGGGCACCGGCTTTTAAGCAGTGGGGTGCTCGATTTGGCGGGAAGTCACTTCACGCATAAAGGTGGTAGATGCTAGCAATGAAGCGCTAAGAAGTAAAACACTTGACGGAGAAGTTTGCCTTTCGTATACTTTATTTAATTGCATCGTACTGTTCGCATGAACAATGAGAAGCACTTTTGTGTGCCTGTGTGGTAGATGCTTTATGCAGCTAGTTGTGAATGTCTTATGTGCCTAGACAGCACAGCAGTGTGCATCCTATTGGTCTCTTTTTGTTCGTGTCAGGACCTGAGGAGCTTGGGCAGGAAAGAGCGAGAGCTATTTTGTAAACACTCAGTCTCTATTAGCTAAGGCTAAGTAATGTTTTCTCCTGCGGAGGCATCAGCTTACGCGGAACGTTTAAGAAAACAAGGTAACTGCGCAACGGAGATGCCAAGATGCAATGAGCACGCAGCAGGGACAAACGTTTGTGCCAGGGGCTGCCACATCCTGGTTGTAGCGATCCATCTTTGGCCTACGTATCAGGGTGTTCCGATGTAGGGCTATACGGGCGGCTATCGTGCGCCTTGCTGCATACTCTCAGCCCTTCGAGCGTTCGCAATCAGTTGCACACAACAAATTGGTTCACAGACACCAAAGTTCACCTGTATAATTTTGAGCAGTACCATTATGCAAAGAATTGCACAAAACAGCAGCCACCACCGAAGGGTCGATCCTTGAGTTTCCCTTAAAAAGCCACTCGATATATCGGAGAGTGTTAGAGTGAATCGTTTGTGTAGCTACACTCGTGGGACTGTCGGCGGGCAAGATTTTCTCAGCGTCTTCGAGATTTGGTGACAAGCGCGTTGCCAACACAACAGAAAGGGCCACTGGTGGAGCGCGCAAATGGGACTATCTGCATTCATACCTAACATCCCGCTGAATGTTATGCTGGCACTCTACTTGTCTCCAAGGCTACACACGACAACACCAACTGTGGGGACGCCCGGTACCGTGGCCGCAGTGGCCGACTGCCATACTTCCACCTCTGTATGATGCGTCTCAGCGCTTCTGAGGCTGCAGAGATTTGTTATTTCTTGCAGAGGTACCTTGCCTAGCAGCTCTGCGCAAGTGTATACAACTTCGCTTGTTTCAACTTTTTAAACGCCCTATCCGTGTTTTGGTACAGAGTGGCAACTCATGTGGTCAACTCTAACCTACGATGAACAAATTCTTGCTAGACTTTATTTTCGAGAGAAATACTAGGAAAAGGTCATACATATATATATAGCTCCATCTGCTCTTGCAAGCGCTGCTTCCGAGAAGTATTCATATACAAATAGAAGCGTTTTGAAGCTGGAAATTCGCAGGCCCCATGAATGCTAGATGCAACTTGTAGTGGCTTAATGCGTGCTCTTTCTGATTAGGTCGTGTGTGGGAGAGCAGCCATGTCCAAGACTTCCAAGGGCTTTGGGTAGGGTCGTTTGAATCCACGATTTGCATGCATTTGTGGTCGATCGGCGTGCCGCGTTGCAATCTGCTCCGCTTTCCATTTTTCGAAAGGAAATAACGAATATATTATTTCAGAGCCTTTGCAGTATCCCGCTCCACGAGAGCAGGGGCAACGCCACGATGAGTACGGGGGCCCCCCAAAACAGGTGAGCAACAAGAAGGGCCCTTAAGGGTCACGTCTGCCATGTCTGTGCCTTCCTGTTGAAATAACAGGGTGCTAAACCCAAGCACTGACCGTTAAGCACGTCGTATGCGTTGGCTCTGGAGGAGCTTTTGATTAATATCTTGTTTGTACTGCCAGGCTTCATGAAACCTCAAACACTCTGTTGCTGCGGAGAAGCTATCTGCGCTTCAGGCGCTTCCAGTACACTTAAAGTAACATAAAGGAGCTGCATGGGCACGGGAATTTATTCGATGTCCTGTACTCAGTCTGCTAACGCTCTTGGAGCTGAATCAGTGCGAGTGCCGAAACGAGGCGACACCCAACGCCCTCCTCTCTCTGCTAAAAAGCCAAAAGAGCGACTCCGAGTCTCCAGACACCCCGCTTGAATCGGGAAATGAGGATCCTCAGCTCTTGATATCCGTCAGGCGACCCCCCGCACTGCCCCATGAACTAGGGTCGGGGGGTGAGATCGGCTAGGCGATGGAGAGCGTCGAATTCGTTTGTGCCTCTTGCGTCTCCTCCATTGGTGTACGTGTGCAAAGGCTCTATTATCTGCGACTGCAAACTCAGGATTTGCGTTGTGCAGTGAAGTGTTTGTGATTCTTGTGCAGTTGGGCTTCTCAGTGCCGGTCCGTCTTACGGGTTTGCGATTAAGGGCCCCCATAGGCGCTGCGAAAGCGGGGGAAGCCCCTCGAAGATTGCGTATATTCTTTAATGATCCCACGAAGTCTTTCGCTGATGCAGGTAAACAGCACGGCAGTAGTGTGTAGACTCGTACTGGAGCTCTGGACGCGTGGTAGAGGCCATGACCCCTTCAGCTTGAAGTTTGCATACTTCAGACCACGTCATGTTTTGCTGTGGTAGAGTGCCTTTGCGTATGTGTATTATGTATATGTATCTATGTATGTAAATATAACTGTATGTATGTGTGTGTGTATGCATGCGTGCGGATGTGTGTATGTGTGTGCGTTGTAGAGACGGATCCGGCAACCGACGAATTTGTAAGTCTGGTTGCCAAATCAGATGGTTTCTGAAGCATCTTAAAATGATTATTCGAATTATCTAGATGCTAGATCGTATTTTGTTTTGCGACTTAGGATGTGCCTGAAGGCGAGAGCTTTGAGGCAGGCATCAACTTTCCCCTAAAATCTGTGCGCTACAAATGCGTAGCTTCTCTCCAGGTCTTTGTTGGTGAGTCTTCATGCTTATGTGTGTATTTGCACGCCGTATCCTCCACCTGTGCCTGTTCTCTTCTCATAAGGGGCTGGCTTGTGACCCCGCCTTTGCTGTACATACAGTTGGCGTGTTCGGTCTTTGGATGCTCCATATGCTGACTCTTGACCGCGCAAACTTACTTGAGCCATTTGACTTGGTCTTCAAAATAGTAGCGATTAAAGGCATGTTTTAGAAGTGAATATGCTAGCTTCCCTCCAAGAAGTTGTACCATTCAGCTATTCATGGTGAAACGACCCGATGCACCCTCAAGGCCCCTGCTGCGTTGTATTGCATTCAGCTGATAACGGAGGCGCCCCCGTCACCAAAATATCCGAGTTGGACGTCTTTGGCACGCCAGTCGACAATCTGCAAGTGCGTTCAACCGATCGGTTGTTTGGGATTGTGGAGATATGGTGTCGAGGTTTTCCCCACAGGAAGTGGCATTTAAGCGTTGAGCCTAAGACTTGGGAATAATATGTTTACAGGTTTGCATTTGGAATGCATGCAGATGAAGGACTGGAAGCCAGTGAATTCGGAGGACGCAATTGCCCAGAACGGCATCTGAAATACACCTGCTACCCTCCTCACCAATATCCGTATCTTTTCCTTAGGGCTGCACTCTTTGCCCTGTGTCTGTCTCTCTTCTACGGAGCTTTTAGCTCCCTCTGAGAGCCTGATGTCTCGGGAGGCCTTCACTCGTGAAACCGTGCCTCCAGCTTCGCGTTGGATACTGAACGTAGCGTGTGTCTCAATGGCCTTTCTGGGGAAGCCTAGGCTTGTTTCACCCTGGCACTGCACGTTTATGCGCACATCCTGCCGGATCTCGGTTGGCGTGTAAAAGCAGGCTTGCACACTTACACCCATCTAGCAAAGTGCCGGGGGACGAACCCAATGTGGCGGGGCCTTTGCGATAACTTGAGACTTCGAAGTGTGTTGGCTTTCACATCTTACACACAAGCCCCCCTTAGTTCCCCGCTATGGCAGTTTGGCTTTGCTCTTGAGCCTTTTTCCTCCAGCCAGCTAAGGCTAACTGCATGAGCCTGGTCGCTCCTGGTACTTCTACAGCTGGTAATGGCGTCTTTTTCGCTCGGGGGGTGGCTCTCGCACCAACTAGAAGACTGTCACAGGCGCCACCTCGACTTACATAAGGATGCCCTTTTCTAGCAATTTGGCTCGACGAGACACTTTGAAAAGTCGCGTCCTTGGTAGCCTCCTCGACTCACCAAAACCACTTGAGCTATCTCGCTAAGAGGGCTCAGAAACGAATCCCTAAGGGTCCACAATTGTCGACGCAGCTACGCTCGTAGGCATCTCGCGGGTGGAGGCAGTGCAGTAGGCCTCCACTCGCAAGCCTATTCCGCGGAAATGTCTTCGCCCGCAAGCTGTGTGCTTGCTCCCCTCTACAATACTCGCTGCACTTTAAGAAACATGTCTGGGTGTGGGGTACAAACGGGGCTTTCCCCACGCGTTCGTGTACCACCGGATTTCCAGCCATGGCATATAACCTCGATTCCCGAGTGTATGTACTTAAAGGCGCAGGCTCTAATGACGGATATGTTTGGCTACTTGGTCTCTGTTTGACACAGAGAAAGGACGGGAGGAACCCCAGTGGTCAAAGGGAGCTTCTTGGCCACAGCGACACACATCCTACATCATTAATGGGTGCTGAGACTCCCGGTGCACACTGCCCATTCCACGAGCTGCTGTAATTGGTGTTGTCAGTGCCGCTTCTTATAAAGTTCCTGGGTGCTTTTCTTTCCCTTATTTACGCCGAATTATTAGCCTTTGCACTTTGCAGCGAAGACGGTTTTGATCAGTGCAACTGTTATACCCATGAGGTTATCTTTTTGAAGCTCAGCCGAAGTTTGTTGCCTTCCAGCATGCCATGGTGCCTCAAGGTAAAAGATGCTCATGCTTGCGTTTCGGCTCCATGTGCACACACACACATGTGCACACACACACCCGCGCAGAGCAGTACAGCAAGTATACAGGGGCACCCAGTTGCTACACCTATTTTTGGCAAAAAGAGAGCTTCAAATGAAATAAACGAATTGATAACTCCGCTCTGCTCGAGGCAGTGCCATGGGCAATTCAAAGAACCTGGAAGGGGCCCTCTCTCACCTTTACCTGGGGGCCCCCCCAAAGGGGAGAGAGGGCCCCCAGTAGAGGCGCGCGGCTGCTCTTTGCGGGCGTGTTCCCTCAAGAAGGAAATATGTGTCACTCTATATATTCTTATAGCTGCACTGGTAGGGGAGGAAGCTAGCAGACATACGCTTTGCTGGATCGAGGAGCTGCAGCAACTCCTAAAGGTTCCCCAGTAGGGGAAGAGGAAAGAGAGAAACCCCAGGTTCCAGACCCCACTAAAGCGGTCCACTGGAGATTTGATATCCCGGTGTGACAATATGCAGTGCTTTGTACTACGCTGGGGGGCCTCTCTTCTGGTGCGGCTGCTGCTGTTGCTGCAGTGTCTCGAGTGTATCTCCATACAAACAGGCGGAGATTTCCGCCGAAGCGCCTCTTCGGGCAGCCCCTTTGCCAGTCTTGGCTTGTGGCCTTCCGCCTTGCCTGAGCCTCGTCAAAGGGCGTTTCGCCTCTGCTGCACTGTGCAAATTCCCAGGGGGGTTGAGGCTAAGCGCGCGCATGCGGCAGCAGCAGACAGCTGCAACACCAACAGGCTCTCAGAAGCATCGCGGGTAGCAGCAGCCACAGCTGAAGCAGCTTCAGCAAGAGCAGCACAAGGGCCTGCCTCCGTTCCAACGTTGCATGCCGCTAAACGCCTCGCGTTTGCCAGCGCTGAGAGGCAGCCGCGACAGCCTTGGAACCACAAACAACGGCCAGCATCTGAAAGGCGATCACTTCGCGGCTTCCTGTGGCATCTACTACGGCGTATAAGACGCCTTCGCAGCTTGCCGAAGAAAGAGTGAGCGAGCGCTAAAGCTTACGCAGTCCTCCTGTTGAATATCCCAGGCTTTAGCTCCAGGCCGAGGCAAGGTGCACGCCAGTCGTGCTGTTTCTTTGTGTTTTTCCAGATTGTCGTTGGAATGGCACTTGCTAGGCATTCCCGTCTTTGCAGTGGTTGACTCCACCGGAAGCCCGTTTGTCTTTTCCGAAGAACGCGCACCTCGCAGCAGGAGCAGAAGGACTTACTGGGATCGCTTGAGAGGAAGAGGCCCCCCCCTGAAGAGTGACCCCCCACGGCTCGTGCAGAAGGGCCTCCTCTTTTTTGATGCAAATGAGGCTTTTGCATACCTCCACCAGCTCCTAAAGACCTCCCGTAAGTCCCTTATGGGGACCGTTGCGGCTGTGTTTTCGTTACTAGGCCTCTACTGCTTGCCTTGATGTTGCTGTCTCCCGCTGGCAGGGGGTCTGGTGGTCATGCTGCAACGGCTTCTAGGGCGTGCAACTTGCGACTCGTGCATATTCTGCTAGCGCTTTGCTGTGTGCGTTAGTCACTAAGCTTGTACTGCCTGAACTGGGATCGCTGCTTCCCGCCGGAAGGGGGCCCCTGGAGGCCGTACTGCGACTGCTTCTGAAAAACGGCAGAGCGCTGCGGCTCGTGCATATATATATATATATACATGTATATTCTGCTAGTGTTGATTGCATATTGTCGCGTGGCAGGATGCAGCGGCGTTTCCCGCTTCTCCCCTGGCTAACGCTGATGCGGCTCGTCTTGGTGTTGCGCCGGTGACGCAGCCCACGTGGACGCACGCGTCGCTGTGCTCTCTCTCTCCCGTGTTTTTCCTGAATTTCGCCGACAGTCGCGCCTCCTTCTGAGGCTTCCGCCCGACGATGCCTCCCACAAGGCCCCCATTTTGGAGCAGCGCCAAGATCACGAGGCCCTTTCCCCCCTCTTTCAGTGGCTTTTTGTGCCCTCTAGACGCGCTGTAAGGCTACAAGTATTCTGAACGCACACAGGTCCAGGCTGTGGACGCCAGCCCATTGTTTCTGCAGCTGTAGCTAATTGAGCGCAACATGGCGCTAGTTGCACTACTGCCGGGTTGCTGATTGTCTCCATTTGGCTGCTAAGTTGGTGCATGCTGGTACCCCTGCGCGGAACGTGCTGCGCGTTGCATGCAATCTCTTGATTCCTGTGTACAGACTGTCCACGCTAGGCAGATACGGCGCGCTCTCGGGGTCCCCCTCTTTTACAGGCGTGAACTCCGCATTCTGCGGGGAGGGAAGTCAATTCTTCCGCTTTTCTTCGACCTCGAAGACCTGCAGAGGACTTGGAAAGCAGCATGCGCTGGGAACGGGGGTGCCAGCAGTTGCTCGAGCAGTAACGAAGGCGATGACAAGGCGGGCGTGGAGATTGTGGATTTCTTGGACTTGCTCCTGAGAGCGGCTCTAGAGCCGCAGGTATCGTGTACATAAATATATATACATATATATTTATTTATTTATTTATTTTCCCTGTTGGGCCTGCTGTAGTCATGAGTTCTTCAGGTGATGCAGCTCCTGCAGGGGGAGGTGCGCTGCTCTAAAGCCCCATTATGAGTCTGCTGCCTGCGCTCAGGGAGACTTGTCGAACGGCGCTGTGACACCTGGGCAGCAGCACCAGCAGGGGAAGCAGCCTCAGCAGCCACACCTCCTGGGGAAGCTGCTAGAGGAGGGTCTGTGGGGGCTTGTTCCGAGCACTGTGGCGCTGGAGCAGGTAGAGGCCCTAAAGAAGGGTGGCACACGGCCCGCAGTCCTCCACACGTCTCCAGACGACTAATTACGCAGTCACAGCAGCAGAGAAGAAACACACCAGCAGCAGAACTGGGGGAAATCGACAAGGAACTGCGGGAGCGCGGACAACAAGAATAACAGCGGCAGATGTCGTGGCTACGGAAAATATCCCCAGCCGAAGAAGTTGCAGACATAGCGTGCTGCCGCTCTCTCTGCTGCAGAGTCGTCATTCATTGATTGCACTCAGGAGGGCGTTGCCGTGTGATGATCCCTGGAAGATCGGGGGTCGACCCAACAACCCCCGTAACCAGACTGCACAGAACGAGGAAACATCCGTTCGTGCTTCACTGTACCTACATTTGAAGTAAAAGAGCTCATGCTTCCTTGTAACCCATGAGCGGGCAGTGCCGTCTGCCAGCAGCTGCTGCTGGTGCTGCTGCCGGCGGCCTGCGTACTCAAGCGCCCCGAAATGAGGCGCATTTGTTGCTTTCTTAACCGACAATCATTCTATATTTCCCCATGTGGACTCTTCTCACATGTATCATACCCTGGCGCGCTGCAGTAGGGGGGCGAAGTCTTTGCGGGCATTGGGACTTGAAAATTCCAGGCGCTCTGCTGTATCGGCAGCTTCTTCTTTTTTCATCTTCTTCTTTTTTTCATCTTCTTCTCCCTGCAACTTCTTCCTCATGACGGTAGAATATCTTTTGTGTACGCACGCAGTCTAGCAAGCATAGAGAGCGCTGCAGAGCTCCACCTTTACAGAACCTCCTGAACAATCAGCCGCTGTATACGGTGGGCAGCAGCCCGACAACCTGCCCAACCCCATGCCCCGTTATGACTTCGCTGGAGGCCATAATTGCACAGAACTTTCCAGATGACGGCACAGATCCCCCAAGTGCCGCTTTAGGGGCCCTCACGCCGTCCGAAGCGGAGGTTCCTGAGAGGGGGGTGACGCCGCAGGGCGTTCTGGGGGCCTCCACAGTCGTCAAAGAGGTTGCGTTTGTGAAGTTTCCCGTCCCCAAGAGCAAGAAACCGTCTCATGCTGACGCTCAGAAGGAGACTGCGGCGGCAGCAGAGGTCTCAGGGACGGCGGGAGAGCGTGGAGCGGCAGTATCAGGACTAGACGGCGTGCCAGTGGTGAAGTATGGCAGTCTATTTGAATTCTCAGACACCGCTGAAGACGACTGGGTGGCCGTTCGAAACCTCCCGAGGCTTGCTGTCAAGAAGGAGGGGGGCGCACAGGGGGCGCCCTCGAGCGCAGAACACAGAGGAGACTCACGTAGCAGGAGACTGGCCTTGCTGCAGTCTCTTCCCAAACCTCAGGGCGTTCCCCCAACGGGCTGCCTGGGCAGTGTGGGCTTTTCCTCGGGGCTCAGCTTGAGTGTACGTACACCAGGAGACGACACAGCAGCAGCGCCGGCGTCAGGGAATGCTGCGATACAGATGGTGCCTCGTGCGCTGCAGCAGAAACAGAAACGTGGAAGGAAGCAAGAGGATGACGGCGCTGCCGTTTCTGCTCCCAACGATGGTCTCACATCTGCCTCATCTGAGGACCTCAAGAAGGAGGCGGGGGCCACTTCTGCAGAGGCGGCGGCAACAGCTCCGGCGGAAGAACCGTTTCTGACTTCAATGTTTACCCTGTACGAATCAGATGGGGAGGAAGAAGCTGGAGCAGAACCATCCAGCTGTAGGGAGGTGAAAGACGCCTCCAAAGTGAAGGATCAGGAGGCAGTTGCATCTGCTTGGCCCGTCACACCCGCAGCTCAGGCAGCACATGTACCACCCCCCCCAGCAGCAGAGCCAAGTGCAAATTGGGTGTCTCGCGGGGAGGAGGAGACGCTGCAAGAGTTGGGGATCGATAAGACCTTGCTGCAGGCCTCAGGGATATCTTCAGCCGAGGTAGGGTGGCATGCAGGGCACTGGGTGGGAGAGCAAGAGTTGGTAAAGGCCTTATGGCTCAGAGTTAGCGAAAATGAAGTGCACGGCAGTGGAGAAGAGTATCTCGAGTAAGGAAGAGTGTTTTCCGCCCCTCCGGTGAACTGCTAAAAGGGGCAGTCATAATAAGGGTGGTGGCTCTAAGTTCAATTTCTGTCCGCAGCTTCGTGACTTGCGTCGAATGGGCACGACAACAGTTTCGGGCGATTCTCTTAAAAATCCAGACTGGTGAGTCTTTGTATTTCTCGAAGCCCAGCCACAACTCTTTGACTCTAGTCCTTGGCTGAAACTATGGCTTTTAACTGGGGACCACTAGCTTGATACTGGCAGGCGGAACTCATGCACTGCACCCCCATCGTAGACGCTTCCTGCAAATGTGATTCAATCGAGATCTCGCTATGCTTGGAGATCAGCTGAAAAAATCTGGCCACCAAGCAGTCACATTTTGCAACAGTGTGCGTGGCTGATGGGGGGCGGTGTACAGGTATGCAGCGTCAACGTCAGGGCCTCTGGCTAAGAAGGCGAAACTGCGGCTCGCCACAAAGGTGTGGAGCGCTAAAGATGGCACTGTCACAGAGACGCTTGAACCCAAATTCATGCAGAAGAGAAAGCACCAGGTGAGGATCTTGTCGCTAAGCTGCTCATGAATGAGGGGTCGGGTGTAGCAAGCAGGGTTCGATGTATAGTTTCTGGATATTAGGGACTACAGGAACCTAGAAAGCGATGGAAGGGCTCCTAGAGTGACTAACTATGCAGATGATGCATGGGGTAGATGAGAGTTGATAGCTTCTAGGCTGCTTTGCATGCCCCCTTCCCGTGTCGGCGGCAAACTCTTCCGCTCATCCTTCGTCTACAAGCGTGCTGCCTAGTTCTCGTGGCATTAGATTGCGAGCCAGGGCGTCTGCAGTAGAGTGTTTGCTCCCATTTTTCGTGATTTGCGCAGATCAACTGGTTGGCTGCGGAAGCGCACGAGAAGGAATTGGAAATGCTAGAGTTGACGGCGAGGACGCGGCAGTCCAAATATCAAACTGCCATGAAATATGGGTGGTGAAATTGCGAGAAGTGCGCGCACACCTGGGGTTGGGACATGCACTTTTCCGGACATCGGTTTGGGAGGTGTACGTACACTTGGCGGTGTACAGTGTGCTTCGCGTGTGGAAATCGTTCCTTTGATGCACAAATGCCTGTTACCGAGGTTACGGGGGCTAGGGTGCCTATACATGTAGGAACAGCTGTCTATGGGCTACAGGCAGCACTCGCGGGGGAGTCAGGGTGTGATTCTCCCGATGGGGGCTTCGAAAGTGTTTCCACACCAGATACACCTCCTTTTCTCCGCCAATTTGTACATCGCCCTTTCCGACTACACCGCAGTAGCTTGCTTGATTTTTAGCTTTCTGTTTGTGTTATCCTAGTAGAGCCCCGCGAGCAATTTGTAACCGCTACATCTACCACGTACCGCATAATTCTGCTGCTTCGCAAAAAGACTGTTTTCGCCATCTGGAATACACGTAAATCCCAGCGCCGCTGAGGCGTGTATGTATGTTATTATATTTCACTCTTTTCAGCGTATTTCCACCTGTATTTCAACGTCTAGATGCCGTCGCATGCACTCAAAAAAAACCGCCTTCGAAGGGACAAGCAGGAAACACTACCCTGATGCGGATCTGCTGCGTGCGCTCTGGCCAGGGTGTCACCCAATCTCATGAAGGGTATACGCCCCTGACAGGTTGTTGTCGGCACTGCTTCCTCCCCACTTGGAACCCATGGGCTTAGAAAGTTTCCTGGCCCCTGTGTTCAGGGCATTCATCGAGGAATGTAAGCAACGAGCCGTGGAGAGGCTGCACATGCAGCTGCTCTGGTGCGATTCTGTCGCCTTGTCCAAAATATGCGCCGCCAGGGTTGCTCGTCTCCCTGGTTCTTCAATGTGATAGTCAAGTCCTGTTTGATAATAGCACAAGTCCGATGGGGTGTGGTGGACCTTGTTGACTGCTGGTTTTCTAAGATGAGCTTGCGTTTTGAGTGCTGCCGCTCTTGGCGTACAGCCCCAGAACCTTCATGCACGTAATGAATCTGTCTCTTCCATCAGGACCCCCTTGCTCCAGCAAAAACAGCCGGTTCAGGTGGGAACCCCCGCTGTCCACATACTCCAGCATCACCAAACTGTCCGTCACTGAGCTCTCTAAAGACTGCAAGCCAGGCTCCTTAGCCAGACTAGCCGTTGCCTTGTTCTCAAGCAGTGCACTGTGACTGTAAACCTCGTGCAGCTGCAGAACAGCGCACATACAGAGTAGACGAACATGAACCTTCGGCGATCGAAAGCATGCTGAGCCGTGGAGTGCCGCCGAAACCACACACGCCACGTAACTGAATAGGGTGTAGTGCACGGACAAAAACACTAAGCTACACAACTACTCTACAAAGCCTTGTGACTACCCCGATCTCGCAGGTCAAACCCTGAGCTCCCGCATCCAGCCTTCAGATCCTTTACCGTATCCCATATAACCCCTAATCACGACCTGTACCCTAACCCCAACTGACTGCTTTGAGGGGGAAGGAGTGTTGGACACTTTCTGAGAAGACAAGTCTAAAGTTGGTTAGCGTCTTATCGAGGAAGTAGCGCCCTGGAATTTGGCGTTGAGTGGTCAAATCAAGAAAACTGCATGCAGCACCACCGACTGCGGCCTTCGCGAAAGACTTCACCTGAAACCAACAGGGGCAGGCACAAATGCACATATCTACAGAGTTATTATTTTTGACACTGCAGGCAGTCTGGAGCAAAGATGACCAGAATACGGGAAGAAAGATCCAAAAACATGAGAAACGGGCAAGCACGACCAAGATAATCTCAAGAAGCAGGGCACACATAGCGGCAGGTAGAGACAGAACGTGGGTGGCGAGCTAGAGGCACAGATACCACGCGATGCGAGAGCAGAGGTGAAAGCAATTAAAACTTAGCACGTCTCCTTCCATTCTATTAGTCGAAGGGGCAGAAGTCATCAGCACCGGAAGCATCCAGACACCGTGCAGCATCAGGAGCAGCAAACTGAAATCCCTAGCGCCTGTGACCAAGCACAGTGGCAAGCGCGGTGGAACTGATACGCACGAGTGCTTGAAGTCTCTCTTTTTCCTTTTGCTTTTGTTCCGCCGTCATGGGCATGTCTTCACTCCCTTCATGGACCTCGTCATCGCAGGGCTGTGCATACACCACATAAATCTAAACCCGTAGCTTTGAAACCTAAAGAAGGCTCAACAGCGCACACCGTGGCATTGCCCACGCAGTCCAATGGCCTACTCCACCTTCTCGATTAGCTGCCAGGGATGCAGCAGAAGAGAGGAGAAAAGACAGGGAAAGGCAGGAAAAGCGAGGCTGGCAGATATAGGCGCAACCACCAAGTGGGACCAGACGAAGGGGAAAGAATGAGAATATAAACTAACGGAAGCAAACGCCAGACAGCGGGAGACTCAAGATCTGAAAAGAGAGAGAGAGAGAGACGGGGGTGCCCCACCTGGAGTTGTGTCTGTATTTCCTCCTCCGCGGTAGGGTCGCAGTTGCAGCAGGAGAAGAGCGCCATTCTTCCTCCGCTTTCTTACTGCTGAACAAGAAAATCAACTGCAGCTGTTTCTCTCCCTGCTAGAGGGAGGTGTAAGCAGCCCCTTGGCATTTAGAAGCCACTGCGGCCTCGGTAAGTTACTCTAGAAGCCTAAGAGAGAGATCTCCGACCTTCGCAGATGCCCTTGTGTACCTACGGACGACGACGTAGCAGCCTGCACCCTACCTCCCCACTAGCCCCCTTAGGAAGTTGCCGCAAGGGCAGCGGGAGCAGACCCGTCAAAATGATAACTTATTTGTGCAGAAGAAACACAGAACAAAGGTGGCACGAACGCGGAAGGTGGCTGGTGCTGCTAAAAAAAGAGCAAGCTCTCAACAAGGTGGCGGAAGAATTCAGCACGCACAGGTTCTGCAAAACTAATGGTCTTGTGCCCAGAATTTGCGACCGATGACGGCATAACCGTTTTGGGGCTGCCTGCGTCTGTGGTCTTCCCCAGAAAAAGGGGAAAAGAGGTGTTTCTGAGTGGGCGAAAGGGTGACGGTTGGACTATTTGCTTGATCATAAAAGCTATCAAAGCATGAAAGAAACAAGTACCAAGGAAACTCTGGTATTTACGGGCAGTCAAAGCAGCTGCTGCTACTGTTGCTAGGCTACTGCTACTGCTGCTGAATGTCACGGCCGCACTGTCCCACAGGCATTCATCTTCTTGATCCTTTTGCCCCCAATGATGAAACTCCTGTGGATGATATAACAGCCTTTCCTTGCGCTGTTACTTTCGGCAGTACGGCCGGTGCAGACTACTGATGGCTGTTTTGTGTTTCACTGTCCTCTCGTGTCCCTTCCTTCTGTGGTTGCCTCTCCCCAGCACTGGATAAGCAACAAATTGGCTGAAGTAATAAGGACATAATGCGGGAAAATAGCAACAATATAGCACTACTAGAAGTAGCTGCAAGCATTGTCTCTCGCGGGTCAAGCTAGAAGCTGGACAGCGTGTAGCGAGCCATTGTGCAGGCGAAATGCATGTCGCGACTTTGCACTAGGCTGAAAATACTTACTTTGAGTTAATAAAAGGCTGGATTAGTGCTGTGGCTGCTCTCATATGTGGTAGTATGCAGAAGGATTAGCTGAATAGGGCAAAAATAGACTCGGCTGCCTTGTGCACTAAGGTGGAATATGCAATTGGGAGATGTACCGGGCCAAGCGACATTGTGGCACTTTCCACCAAACTAGTTACATTTCTACTAAAAGGATATAATGATTGCGTGACTTGGCTTTTTGAATGTGCTGCTCACTGCAGAGTAACATTAGGGCACTACAGAAAGGATCGATTGAACGCTTCGTAGAACTCTCCGCAAAGAGCAACAAAAATCTAGACTCAGTACAGACTTATTATAATGCTATTAAACGCTTCTCATAGAACGTCCCGCGAACCCTTGCCCGCGCTCCCCAGAGTTCCCATCATTAGCGGAAGAGGACAACTACACGAAGCGTAGCTCTATCCTTATAAAGCACTCCGAGAGTAGCAGGCTACGCTACACCAAAACATTTTCTACTAACCAGTTATACATATGATTCGAATAAGTACAGCAGTGGCCAACTGGCTTGTTCGTGTACTTCACATATTGCGGAGTACTGCTTGCTCAATTCAAGAGCACGCAATGTTGCGTGCTTGTTTGCTAGAGGATATGTACAACCCAATGTCAATGCTCGGAGTGCTTAAAGACGGCACCTATTCACACTGTAGCTGTGCTCTCCCGCTTATGTATAGAACCCTAGAGGCAGGCGAAAGTTTAGTTGAAAACCCCCCCCTAGCTTTCTATTGCGTGTGCGTTGAGTCTGATGTCAGGGGTCTCCCTACTGAAGGCGTAGAGAAAATTCCACATGTGGCGACTGCTGGGAGTACATTCAAGCCTGCTGGGCACTTCAGATGATTCCTGAGGCTCACAGTCCTGCCAAATTTTACGTATGAGGTGGAAATCACACAACTGGCATCGGTCCCCAATCTTCCGCGCTCAAGCAAAGGCTCAAGTACTCAGATAAAGTCAAACGCTAGCACCCAAATAAAGGGGCCTTTGCTGATGGAAACACTTTAATGCTAAAAGCACATAACCAATTCCATGCGAAGTCAAGTTCAAATGAATGCTCAATCATCGATGATGGTCTCCTGGTGCATTGCTACGTTCAAGCCAAGCTATGGCTTGGGGATAATAGTTCTGCCACTCTCCGCGTCAGTCTCAGTTCAAAGGTGGTACCAAGTCTCTATTGAGCAAGCAAATTTTTGGCTGTTCATCCATCTTCAGCTCTTCCCAGTGCTATGCTTAGTCCTTTTGTCAAGCCTATATATGCACATATTGCAACCTCTGAGGTAAGTTTCCCCACAATTATTTTTAGTACATAACCGTCTTGTTTGCTCCTGATGTTGAAAACAGTGCATCTGAGCTCAGATCCCTTTGAAGCTGAGAGTCCTATTTGGCGAAATGACTTCAAGTTCCTGTAGAATCTAGAAGGGCTGCTCCAACTACGAATGAAGCAAATGGGGGCGTGATCGCAGCGCTAATTAATTACAAAGGCAATGGTCACCCAGTCAAGAAACAGGGGATGTGGTGTTTCGATGGCGCATTGAACGCATTCCCCGTCTTGCTGGGGAGAATTTACACACCAGAAAACTAGACTAAAACCACCTCTTTCTCTATTGCGTAAGGTTCTCCCTGATGAGGCAAGTACTACGGATTTCCTGTGAGGATACATATATTCTTCCCAATCGCTGCATTGTGCGAAGCGTTAACTAGTTAGAGGCCCAATATTAGTGAAGGGTGTGGGATGGCCTCAGAAGGTGCTCTCTACACGCAGCGGCCGTAGCCAAATACTAGGAGCAGAAATATGTGTGCGTATTCGGTGTATATCTTCAGTCGTAAAATAACAGTCTTTTCCAAGTTAACATGTGTAGCCGCCTTTGCTAGTCTAGTTAGGCCCAGTTTAGTGCTTCAATTTCTGCTTTATAAACCCCAACATCACTCTAGAAGGATCCGGCAGTTTAGTGGCTAACACTTTTCAGCATCTAGATTTGACGGGGGTTTGCAGGCTATCAAACAACCTCAAAGATACTTGCTTTTTAGCTAGAGTTGCTACATCCACTCTCTGGGTTGCATACAGCAGTGGTGCAGGTTTGTTTACCTGTGTGTCGAAGCACTGCACAGACCATGTTTTACATTGTACTGAGCGTGAATGTAGCCTCCGGTGAGGCTTCCATGCCTATAGTTTGCACTTCATGCCTTCTTTCCTGGTCCACTGGTGCTTATGGCTCATGAGGCTCTAGTTACAGTCCCAGCGATACGCGAAAAAGACGCGGAAAATGAAACACACCATAGGCATAGCAGCCTCACCTGAGGATATATTTCCATATAGCCCAATTAGAAGTTTAGTTTGTGGAAACCACCATTGCCAAGAACTCGCTGCTCTACTTCTAGCAGCCACTTTCACTTCTGCTTATAGTCCGAGGATCCAGCCAACATTAAAGAAAATTACCTAGTTATACATTTGCCTCGCTGATTACACAATCCCGAGAAGGTAATCATTTTGGCTAAGCGGATGGCTACGTAATGTTTTAGGGCGCACCTGCAACTGCAGTGTAGACATGCCTTTCGTTATTGCTAAAAGTAGCTATGTCGACACGCAGACACACAGGCTGATATGCATACACATATACAGGGGCTGTGGCATTGTGGATATGTTTTCACGTGCATCAAGTGACAATTTGCAGGTGTTCATGCAAGTTCCACACACTCTCATGACAAAGTCTACTTTTTGTGGTCATCTTGGGGTGATACGGGATATACGCCACCAGTCATCGTTCCTAGGGAACCCCCCTTTTCAGTCAGTAGTGTCTTATTCGGACTGTGTAGTTGGCCTACCGCAGCGTCACCCTGTCCACAGCATCTTCACCTGCTTCTAGCAAGCGCCCACAGACAACCAAGTGCTCCTTATAAAGTACCGAACTCAGATTAGAAGTGCTGTCGCGAACGCTAGCCACCTGCGCCAATCCTGAGCTGAGGCCTATTCCAGGGCCAAAGGCCAATGGTAGACTAGTGCAGCAACATGAGCTACATTTTGCATCACTTCCCGGCGAAAGAAGCGTTGCAAAGCACGCAAGGGCGCATATTTAACATGTGGGAGATACGTGACAGCTCAAGGATGGTAGGCAGGCCTGCTGGGATGGCACACACAGCCCTCAATTCGTTCTTCTTGCCTACTGAAGCAACCAGAAAAGTAGGACAGCCTAAAAGCTTGAAGATTCCATGCATAATCCTTCGAATACTACTTAAGACCCTGCAGCCCTGCACTGTAGACATCAAGTCTGGCTCTAAAACTCGTTTGCGCACCCTAGTGTTTGTCAAGAGCTATTTGACAAGGCTTTTCTTCTTGTCTTTGAGTTTGAAGCACAGAGAATTTGTAATGGTGTCATCACAGGAGCTCCACACTTTCGAAGTGACCAACAGAAGTCGTCCCGTCTCAGCCTGGGAGTGGCGTTGAGGTGCAGAGTAATGCACTATCCGAAAACTAGTAGGCGAGCAGTAACGTAATTATCAGGGCTTTGGAGGCGTGGATGCGCTGCTGAGCTCCAGGGAGACACAAGTGAGGGAGGCGACACAGGCGGTGGGGGATCAGCACAGGCCACAAAACATAGGATCTACGGCTAGAAAGTGGGGTTGGAATATTACGGCTAGGCGCTAGAATTTACGCTTCGCGAGCCATGTGTTGGTCTTAAGACTAGTTTAATAAATTGAAATCGTCTTCATTGTTCGCGCACCTTGTAGAGATAGAACAACTTCTAATACAAGCTACAAAGCCGAAACTTGCCGGATAGTCCGAGTCTGCCTTCTTCGTAAGCAGGAATTACCAACTCCTAAATCCCACGCTGTAATCCGCTTCTCACACATAATGTGCTAAACCCTAATCACAAGCCTGAACGCTCTGCTCATCATGTATTTGACTGGGCCACACGTCAGGGATTTTTTGTTACC